AATTAATTTAGGCAGTTTGCTGGGTGTTGATCTAACAGCTACCACCTTCCCAAAGTCCAGGCTACACTAAACAAGGCTTTTTCATCTGTAAGCAACCTTTCACTTTGTTGTGTTTGATGCACATGCAGAAGAAGAAAAAGCCACTTGCACTGTGGAAACATGAGCTGCAGCTATGCAGTAAATTGTGCTCAGTAGCTGACCTGCTGATCTAGTTTTGAGCGAGTTTTCGACAGAAGATACTACAATAAAATTTCACAGGAAAACTATCAAGTATCCAAAATTTCAGTATTCTGTTATTTTCTACCCCCAATATTGCCAGCACACAGATTAAGGAAGAAAGGTATTTACCAACCAGCATAGAAGAAAAAAATTAAAATGGAAAAAGGATTTTTAAAGATATCATAGCAATGGCCACCAGTCATTTTCCAGCTTTGCAGGATTTCAGTTCAAAGTCAATCTAAACGAGCCAGCATATGTCTCGCAAGAAAGAAATTGCAGTTCATGTCTGCTCCTAAACCCAAGCTTTGCTATCTCTAATATGGATAGTATTATTTTCCAGCTCTCAATAGATGTGTTATAATTCATAATGTCAAAATCTCATGCATAGAAATATTTCATAGATTACTAAGATAGATAGCTAGCTAGCTAGATAGATAGATAGAAAGAAAGACAAATGGATTGACAAGGCAGATAGAGATATTTGAATGTACTTGCTTGTATAACTTTGTATAGAAAGGGATGGAGAAGTGAGAGGTTATTCTTTTCCACACATGGAAAACCATCTTTTATCCAGGAGAATCAGCTTCCTTCCTCAGTGACCACCAGGCTATTTGAAGACCACCCCCAAGAAGGCCCTGTGATCCCCATGGCCTGTGCACACAGTACTTCAAGAAAGTAATGCCTGCCGCTTAATACTACAGTGGTGTTCAAGAGATTTATTCCCAACTTTGGTGACAAAATGAACAAACTGAAGCCAGTTACTGTAAAATGCCTGCACAAGCCCCACAACAAATCACAGCCTAAAGTAGCATGCCCCACAAGGTATCCCCCAAGCATGTACCAGGTGGCTGCAGATCCTCCTTCAACCCTGTCTGCATTGCAGCCCCACTAAGTACCAAGAAGAAAAGGGCCTTTGTGAGAGCAAACAAACTTAACCCTCTGCCAGGACACAAATTTAGCGGGCAAAAAATTAAAAAACCCCACAGCATCAGCCACGCTTCCCAGTGAGAAGGGTTGGAACTCTCTGCCTCTCAACACTTTCCCACCAGCTTTACAAGGGGAACTGGGATCTAAGCTGTGCCCTCCGAACCAGCAGAGTTCCCTTCAGGGTAAGAAGCCACAGCCTCAGTTATACCCCCAGGTGCCTCCTGTGCCCCAGAGAATGGCCTGGCTCATCTGGCCCGGCCCGGCCCAGCCCGAGCAGCCCACAGGGATGGCCTCAAGGGATGGGCTCTGCCTGCCCGCTGTGCCCACAGGCCGGGCCCAAGGGCTTGCAAGAGGCTTCCTCCCAATTTTGTTAAACTTCAGCCAAGAGTGTCCCCTTTGCTGTGCTGAGAAGAGTAAAAAACCCTTTCAATTAAATCCTACTGCACACCTCATGGGAGATCCCTTCACACCTTCGGAGAGAGCCCAAATTAGGCCCTGGGTGCCTCATGAGGTGCAGGCCCAGGTGATGCCACTGAAGGAAATGTGCCCTCATGAGGTGCAGGCCCAGGTGATGCCACTGAAGGAAATGTGCCCTCACAGGCCAGGGATGCTCATGGGCTCCCCCAGCCCCTCAGGGCCCCACCGCTGGTCATGGCAGCCTCTGCCTGGCTCCTGCCTGCCCACACCGTGGGCAGCCCCTGCTGCTCCTGGACATGGAGCTCAGCCAGGGCTGGTGCCGTATGGGCTTTGCTGGTGGTATCAGCTGGACACTGGGGTGACAGCTCCATCTCTTTATTAGAACAAAAAACATGGGCCAAGCCTTGCTCTGGTGCACAGGGGCTGCCCAATTTCAGTCCTGGCCAGGGACCAGGGCCAGGGGGTTCTAAGTAAGAGGATCTCACCTGGGAGGTGTGGGTCTTGGGATGCCCTCAAGATGGGGATGCAGCCACAGCACAGCAGATGGGGACAGATGTAAAGAGCAAGGATAACAGGTCAGCTTCTCAGAGACTAAAATCTTTGGCTGCTCTACTAAAGGTGCACAGGTGCTCCTATGGAGAGAGGAGGTGGCTGAGGCCCCCAGCTGCCGCTGGCACGCAGGGACCCTCCTGCCCAGCAGGGCCCAGAGTGGCCAAGGCTCCCCAGCACGGCTGGAGCTGCTGGCACAGCTTGGCCCAGCTGGACAGCTGCCCCTCAAGGCCCCGGCGAGCAGGGGATGGCTCTGGGCAGGGTCCCTGGCCAGGAGCAGGCCCCAGAGCGCCTCTGCCTTTCAAGGGCAATCTCGTCCCCGCTCTTTCTCCTGCCCACCTTGCTTTGCCTCTGCCTGCTGCTCCTGGGGCTGCTCTTGGCCAGGCAGCCTCAGTGGCAGCCAGCACTGGCTGCAGCCCCAGCAGGCTCCCCAAGACAAGGCCCAGCAATTAAGAGGCCAATGAAAGGCCTGGGCAGCAGCAGAACTCTCAGCACAATTATTTGGGCAACCAAGGCCTAGCCACAAGTCCACAGCAGCCTCACTGGGAATGTCTCCTGACTATGAGCAGCCTTTCAAGAAGCTGCTTGAGGCCGAGATCAACAAAACACTCACCCTTTTCTCTTCCAGCAATACCATCATATTCCGGCATAGCACATCATCAGGAAAAGTGCTCCACCAGCCACAATGGCCATTAACTTAATCAAACCATGTGTTCCCTGGTAGAAAACTCTTCTCAGGCTTTCCCAGATATTCTGAGCATGTGCTGTAGTGCCGGCTGCATCTGTGGGAGCAATGGGCAATGGGCAGTGTGAGCCCGTGCTGTCCTCCACTGCTGAGCTGACAGCATGCTGGATACATCCAGGACGTTCTCTGTTTCCCCCAGAGCTGGGGCCTGCAGGCACCTTGCTACCCCCTGGCACAAGACTGTTCAAGCCCCCGAGCTTACATGGCATCATTTCTCTGTGCTGTGCTGGTCTTCTCCAGGCAATACTTGTCAAAGACATGGATAAAGATCAGGAAAAAGCCCAGGGTTTTGGAAATGCTCCAGGACCACCCCTCTTCCAAATAGCCCCTAAACCTGATCTAGCCTGAGACAGGAAAATTTCAGGGGATCTCAGGGTGTGCATGGCCCGTGCCGCACTTTGGGCTCCCTGGCAGCTGACGCCAAATGCCTTCCTGCAGAGGCTGGGGAGAAGCTGCAGCCAGGCCAGGCTGAGAAACAGCCCTGCAGGCCATAAAAGCAGCAGCAGGGCAGCAAGGCTGCCATGGATCCCTTCCTGCTGTGCCGGGCTTGGCTTGTCCAGATGTGCACAGAAATCCCTTGGCTGCTGAGTCTCAGGAGAAGGCTGAGGGACATGGACCCACCATGGCGTCCCTCCAGATCATTCAGGATTATGTCCAGATATTTGAGTTCCTCCATTGCTACATTACTATCTCCTATAGGTTTGTTCTTCCCTCTCAGAGGACCTTAATATAAAGTATTTCCATTTCCCAGGAATGGACCCCACAGAACCAGTGCTCAGCTTGTGGGGTCAGCAGGGACACACCACAAACCCCAGTGATGGGAGCCAGGTTTGCTTGCAGCATCCATCCCACTAGCTGGGAAAGTCCTTGCTGCAGACACACCTGTAACTCAACAGCCACAGAAGCTTCTGTCATCTCTGCTGATCTGCACGGGCAGCACTGAGCCACAGGAGCTGTGATGGGATCACGCAGGGTGAAGGCACACACGTACGTGGCTCTGTCCTGGCACCTGCAGTGATGCAGCCCTGGCCGAGCCTTAGGCTCTGAGCTGGCAGCTCTCCCAGGGGGAAAGGCCTTGACCTACCCTCATAATCTTCCTCATCATCACGCTCAGTAACTGATATGGATCGGGAATCCAGATCATCCTCATCATCAGCTTCATCTGCAAAGAAAGTCAGGACAGAACAGCTCCCGTGACACTGGTGAAGATTCTCCTTCAGGCTGGAGTGGCAGTGAGTGCACCTGGGTGACTGGTGCCCTCCAAGGCACTCCCTCACATCTTCCTTCCACTCAGGAGTAGGAGCAGGGGGACCACGTGCCTGCAGTGGGCCCACACTGGGATGGAAGGAGCCCCTTGCATGGAAGTCAGGAGACAAAGGACTCCCTGGAGCTGCCAGCATCTCTGAACTGAGCCCCAGGCAGGGCCAGGGCTCAGCAGCGGCAGCTGGAGCAGCTCAGGCTCCCTGGGGCCGGCAAAAGAGCCGCGAAAGCACAGCCCGGGGGCACAGCCCTGGGCCTGGCCCCTTCCCTCTCTGCTCTTCTCTGTGGCTTCACAGAGCACACAGAAGGAGACACTGGCATTGCACATGGGAAGACTGACAGCTAAATGCTCCTTCCTCCCACTGACAGCAATGCTGTGGGATCACTTAGGGCTCCAGAAGGGAGCAGGGCTAGGTTTCCAGAATCCATCAACCTTAAGAGTCTGAAGGGAAATGGCACATGAGTGAGCTCTTGCCACCTTGACACTGATTATTCTGTGCAGAAAGGGGCATTGAGAATTTGCCTCCAGCATCTGGCAAGGTCTTCAAACTACCATCTACCAGCACTTCCAAATACTCCATGTCACGATCCCAATCTAGAAGGGAGCACAGATCAGAAGCATTCTATGTTGTGCTGGGATCTCCTTCTGCCTTAGGGAACTGGGCACTGCAAGGGGGTCAGGGAAGGCCATGGGAGCCAGATGTCAACGGACATGGCCAAAGCTGCAGAGGGGCCTGGAGAGCTCTGGGCTGGCTCTGGTCACTCTCAACACCCTTTCCATGCCCTGTGCAACATCCCTGAAGAGCAGGCACAGCCAAGCAGCAGAGATGGCAGCTCAAGCCTCAGCAGGGCTCAGGCCCAGAGGCACAGCAATTACCTCCTGTGACTGTGCCTGGCATGGCCTCCCTTCCTGCAGCAGAGGCTGCCCATGAGTCACTGCTTCCTCCGGGAAACACTGCTTTCAGCACAGCCTTTTGGTTCATCTCTGGAGAAAAGAAAAGGGACAGGTGGATCAGATGGAACCATTCCCCAAAGGGGAGGTGGCATGTTCAAGGGGAAATGTTTGTCAAAGTCATGGATAAGGATCAGGAGAAAGGCCAGGTTATTCGGGTTGGCCAAGGCCCACCCTCCTCCAAATGGCCTCTACAACTGATTGACCCTGAGACTGGGAAATTGCAGGGCATCTCAGGGTGTTCATGGCCCATGCCGCACTTTGGGCTCCCTGACAGCTGATGCCAAATGCCTTCCTGCAGAGGCTGGGGGGAAGCTGCAGCCAGGCCAGGCTGGGAAACAGCCCTGCAGGCTGTGAAAGCTGCAGTGGGGTAGTGAGTCTGCCATGGATCCCTTCCTGCTGTGCCAGGCACAGTGTGTCCAGATGTGCAGAGAAAACCCCCGGCTGCTGAGTCTCAGGAGAAGGCTGAGGGACATGGACCCACCACGGCGTCTCTCCAGTTCACTCAGCATCCCGCCTTCTGTAGGTTTGTTCCTTCCTCTTAAGAGGACCTTATCAGAAAGTATTTCCATTTCAGATGAATGGATCCCACAGAACCAGTGCTCAGCCTGTGGGATCAGCAGGGACACACCACTCACCCCTGTGATGGGAGCCGGGCTTTGCGTGCAGCAACCAGCCCAGGAGCTGGGAAAGTCCTCACTGCAGACACACCTGTAATTCAACAGCCACACAAGCTTCTGCCACCTGGTTCCTGCCAGGTTGTCAATGATTATTCCTTGTTGGGACAGTGAGAAGATACCTGCATGAGGCTCCAGAGGCAGAAAATCTTCATGAAGCCAAGCTGCTGGAGAAGCCTTCCTACCACCCTCATCTGGAAGAGAGCACAGATCAGAACCAATGTTGCACTGGGATCCCCTTCTGCCTTAGGGAACTGGGCACTGCAAGGGGTTCGGGTAAGGCTGGGGGAGCCAGATGTCAATGGGCATGGCCAAAGCTGCAGAGGGGCCTGGAGAGTTCTGGGCTGGCTCTGGTCACTCTCCATCCTCTTTGCAGGTCCTGTGCAACATCCCTGGAGGGGCAGCAGAACCAGCCCAGGGCCCTGGGGACTCTCCCCCAGCCATAGAGGAAACTGTCCCTAAAGCCCTAGAGAAAACCATCCCCAACTCTTCCCAGGGAGAAGAAGCACTGTCCCTGGAAAGGGGAGCCAGGCCGCCAGCTCACCTGCTCGCCGTGCTCACCATGGAGCAGCCTGGGCAGCCCTGTCAGGCAGGGCCACTGCCAAGAGGAGCAGAAGGAGGAGACACAGAGCAAAGGCCATGGTGCCACACCCACAGCCAGTCCCACAGCTCTTGCTGCCACCGCTGTCCTGACACCGCTGTCCCAATGTCAGCACCGCTGCTGCCGCCGCCATTGCTGCCGCAACAGTCATGGTCAAGGACTGACTGCTCGGGCCTTGTGCTGCTGTACAACCACGGGGCTCTGGGACCTCTGTGACCTCAGAGCCTGCTGTCACCTCAACCTGCTGTCACCCCACAGGCTGCTGTGACCTCATGGTCAGGGTGGAATTGTGTGGGGAGTGGGATCTGCCTTCTTCAGTAGGGAGCTCATCCTACTGAATGACCTTGGACAGAGCCCAGCAGCTCTGTCCAAGGTCTATGACACAGTCCCAGCCCAGCTGATCTCACAGGCTGGGGGATGAAGGGATGGAGAGCAGCCCTGCTGAGAAGGACTTGTGGCTGCTGCAAGGTGAGAGGCTGGACATGAGCCAGCCATGTGCATCCAAAGGAGGGTGCCCAGCAGCTTGATGGAGGTGATTGCACGACCCCTCTACTCTGGTGCGAGCCCACCTGGAGTACTGTATCCACCTCTGGGTGCCCAGCACAGAAAGGACATGGTCCTGTTGGAGCTAGTCCAGCGGAGGGACAAAATGCTCTGAGGGCTGGAGCCCCTCTGCTTTGGAGACAGGCTGGGACAGCTGGGGGTGTTCAGCCTGGAAGAGGGAAGGCTCCATGGAGACCTGATTGCTACCTTTCAGTACTTTAATGGGGCTTGTAAAAAAGACAGGACAGAATTTTTAGTAGGGCCTGTTGTGACAAGACTGAGGGGGAATGTTTTCAATCTAAAAGATGGTAGATTCAGACTAGACATAAGAAAGATGTTTTTTACACTGGGTTTTGAAACCCTGGCACAGGTTGGCCAGAGAGGTGGACATCCGTCCCTGCTGACATTCAGGCTCATGCTCTGAGCAACCTGATCTAAAGGTGTACCTGCTCACTGCAGGGCACTGGACTAGATGGCCTTTAAATGTCCCTTCCAAGCCAAGCCATTCTGTGCTCCTGTGCACCATCAAAGCAGTGCTGGAATAATGCTGGGGTGATGATGCTGGCACCTGTGTTTTGGTAGTTGTGCCATTTAGCTGTTGGCCAAGATAGGATTGATGAACTGCAAAGTGAAGTCTGCAAAGAACAGTGTGCTCATGGAGAAACAGGAAAGGAACATGGCTTCCAGTTCAGATAAGTGCCAGCATTTTGCTGCCCATTCATTGTTAAGAAATAAAGCAATGTCCTGAAGGTCCCTTCAGTGTGGGTGCACTATTGGCTGTATCAGTACTTGTGTTCTGTAAAACAGGTAAGTTGTTACAGCTTCTAGCCCCATTTATCACTGGATAAAACCCAAATACTGCATTGCTCCATGTCTCCTTTCTTCCAAGTAAAGGCAGATTTTGTTCATTCTTGAGTGGGACATATTCATCTGTTGACAAGCAAATTCTTCTTGCCCTTCACACAACATTGATTTGCTCTAATCGGATTGTAACTAAGATCTACCACTCATAATTAAGACTGATGGATTGTGAGGCAAAGTGTTGCATAATTTTCCCTGGAGAAAGTTTTTCTCTAATTAAATGACATTTGAAGACAGGGGCAGCCTACCATACTTCTGCCATTAGTCTCCCACTCCGTCCTTTTCTCTCACCCAAGGGGAGGATTGAGGTCTGCAGGTCTCATCTGTGCACTGAAAGAGTTAATATCTCACCCAGATTAATATCAAACCCATGTTGGTTTCTGTTGGGCAGTGGCCAAAGCAGTCACAGTGATGGATTTCAGGCCGTGCTGGGGCTGTGCCAAAATCTCAGGGGACCCAGCCAGAAGCGTTGTGGCCATTCTGGCCACATGGCTGGTCCCAAGCCCCTGCTACCTTCAATTTCAGCTGCAGGCCGGTGGCTTCCCCTCCCTGTGCCCAGCAGCCGTTGGGGCCATGCAGGCCATGGTGAAGGGAGCCTTGCCCAGCCCAGAGCCACTCCCGGGGCCTGGCGGAGCCCGGCTCGGTGCAGGCCAGGGTGAAGCAGGGCCAGCCTGACCAGCACCCAGTTAACTCTTCACAGCTGGAAGCGAGAGAGAGCATTCCTGGGATTGCCTGTCTTTAAAATGTGGATTTCACAGAGGCAGACCCAGCTTCAAAATTATTTAATAGATTGTCAATTCTCAGAGCCAGACAGCTATTGCTTTTGCTAAACACAGAGGAAGCTCTTAGCAGCCCCCTCCTAGAAAAATCACTTCTGTGGGTGACTTCTTCTCTCTTCAACAAATATCAACTAATACAAAAAGAGCACAGACACTCAGGGTGAAACAGGAAGCAATTTTGAAGCAATTGTTCTAAAGCAAAAGCAGTTATTGCACAGAGATTGATGTCATTGCCCCAGACCACTGGAGAGGGACAGTGACTCTGCCACTTCTCCCCTGGCCAGCCCATTCCAATTCCCAATCACCCTTTCTGGGAAGAACTCCTTCCTATTGTTCAGCCTAAACCTGCCCTTGTGCAGCTTAAGGCTGTGTCTCCTTGTCCTGCCCTCCAGCACATCCACACTTGCAGCCAGCTTGGTGTCATCTGCAGTTTGTGAGTGCTGGACTCGACCCCTCAGCCAGACCCTCAGTGAACATATTAAACAGGACTGGGCCCAGCACAGATCCTTGGGGACACCACCAGGGACTGGACACCAGCTGGATGCAGCACCATCCCCACCACTCTCTGGGCCCGGCCTCCAGCCAGTTCTGAAGCTGGCAAAGAGTGCTCCTGTCCAAGCCATGGGCCGCAGCTTATCCAGGGAATGCTGTGGCTCTCCGTGTCCAAGGCCTTGCTGAAGTCCAGCTAGACACATCCAGAGCCTTTCCCGCACCCACCGGGCGGGTCAGCTGGTTATAAAAGGAGATCAGGTTGGTCAGGCAGTGTGATAGATAGAAACTCTTTTGTTTGCCTAAATATATAGATATGATAGAATGCTTTGCGAAATTGTACTTTAGATATAAAGTTGAGAAAGGGGTTTGAAGGCCACTAACTCGCTGAAGTTGGCATAATTAATAACAGCCTAGCAGAAATTCCTGGAACACTAGGACAAGATAAACTTGGAGAGAGAAACAGTGAGAAAAGGTCAATGGAACAGGAGTGAGGAAGACTTGAAGCCTCCCTTCTACGACCACAAGAGAGTAGAAAAGGATCATCTAATGACCAGAGACGCATGCTCAGAAATGCCGGAAGAAAGCCACATCACCAGGAGGCCGAAACAAATAAAAAGACAAACACGGAAGCGGGAAGCGCGGCAGCTCCGTGGGGAAGAGGTTTCTCCTCCTCCTCCCTGCCGCCCGGCGCCGACTTTTGCTTATTGCTGGCTTGCTATAATTAATAAAAACCTTTCCTTATATATCTGTTTCTAGTGTATTTATAACAGGCAGGACCTACCCCTCCTAAACCCACGCTGGCTGGGTCTGACCCCTGGGCCATCCTGGAGGTGCCATGTGATGGCACTCAACGGGATCTGTTCCAAAACCTCACCAGGCACTGAGCTCAGGCTGATAGGCCCGGAGTTCCCCAGAGCCTCCTACCAGCCCTTCTTGGGGATGGGCTCACACTGGCACCTCCAGTCCTCTTGGACCTCCTCAGTGAGCCAGGACTGATGAGGAGAAATGATGGAGAGCAGCTTGGGGAGCTCATCTACCAGCTCCCTCATCCCCCTAGCATGGATCCCATCTGATCCCACCCACCTGTGAGCATCTGAGTGGCTCAGCAGGTCTCTGACTGCTTCCTCCTGAATTACAGGGGGCTGTTCTGCTCCTTGTCCCCATCTACCAGCTCAGGAGAACACTCGTCCTGAGGAAAACCTGTCCTGGTGTTGAAAATTGAGGCAAACAAGGGGTTAAGCCTTTTCCTCATCTTTGGTAACCATATCCCCCCAATAAGGAATGGAGGTTGTCCGTAGCCTTTCTTTTGCCATTTGTGGTTAGATTGAGAGAAACCAACTGGAAGATCTCGTGATGTACGGGAAGGTAGAGCCCCTTCCTCTCCAAGTACGCTAACCAATAGCAATGTAGTAGTGACGCAAGCATACCATGGTTATATAAAGTCGCACAAACAGGAAATAAATGCTTTTCGCCATCCACCACATTGGTGTGCGTGTGTGAATAGCCCGACAGGCCTGTACGTTTTGCTGTTGTGTCTTTCTCTAACTGGGTCGCCTTGCCTCCGCTGAGGCAACATAGTGGTGCTGAAACCTGGGACCGCTCCCCAGCACACGGGTACGAGTGGCCGGGATATCGGGAGACTCGCCGGACGCTGAAAGACGGCTGGAGCGGCAGGACCGACTTTGGCGGGGAGGACGCTCCCATACCGCCAGGATAGAAGCTCTCGGCAAGGCAGTTTCACAACTGCATAAGCAGTGAGGGATTGATTGTAAAGCGAAAGATTTTGAATGTGCGGTTGCCAGATTATTAAAATCAGATGCCATTGATTGTCCTGTAGACATTCTTCACCCAGAGTGTTGGGACAGATGCACTAAGGTGCTTGCAGAAGATGTATTGTGCTTTAAATCCAGCAAGTGTCTTAAGAGCTGGGAGAGGGTTATGCAAGCATTGCGAAAGGCGCTCCAAGAGCAAGAAACTTGGAAGGCAGCCCAATGCTGTCTAAAGGTTACACCACGAGTGGGGGTTGGAGCAGCTACTCAGACCACATTTATTGACTGCCCCACTAATTCTAACTGGCCATCCAGTAACAACGACCGCCCCGAGTCATCGTCCCGATCTCTCAGTCCTACCCCTGGTTTGGCCATAGAACATAATCAACAGTCAAAAAGTACCGATGCCGTAGAACCTCAAAGTGCGCTTAATACCACAGGCCCTAAAGATATTTGGGAAAGACCCCCACCATACGCGCCGCAAAATGGCGCCGGAGAAAAGAGCGAGGGGCAGGGTGAAGAGTGCATAACATGCACAGACATGCGCGATCGGGAGTTTGAGGGGAAGTGGGAGGATACAGACGGCAAAGGAGAGGAGAGCCCACGGTCCAATCAGGGAGCGCACCCTAAAACATTCCCTTATAAACAAAAGAACCCGCTGGAAGGAAGGCGGGGAAAAGGAGGGGAGAAACCCCCCCATG